GTTGATTAGTCCTGCTGTGACCGCGAGCCTCCCTCTTGCATAACTCAACAGGCAGGACGCAGCTGCAGGCTGAGGGGCTCAGCTCTCACTAAAAACGTATAAACATGGTACTATGAAGAGCCCTGGATACCAGTTACTGTCTAAAAGGCACAATGCCAAAACAATAAACTGCAGGTGTTGTGTAGAAGAGCTGTGTCTTATCTGGAGAGAGCAAAAAAGACAAAGCAGAATTAGAAGGAACTCCAGCAGACCACAAAGAATGTGGCCAGGCGGCTTGTACAGACAAGCCCAACATGTGATCACCCAGTCACAGAGAAGGAGAGAGACAAAGACAAAGGAAGCCTTGCTACCACAACAGCATCACAGACTGATAGTAGGGCATAGACACGAGGCCAGTTCAGGTTAATTTTCATATGGACATAGCAGTTTCTGAGGAAAGTGAGACCACTTTGTGGGAGCACATACTCATCACATGTCTTATACTAAATAACAATAATGTACCGTGTAGGCTATTCCGCTGTGGAAGAGGTATTCTGGTCCTCTATTCAAGTAGAAGTAGCATTTCCTCACTGTAAAAATACCAGCTTCAGGTTGAGCTCATCTAAAGTACTTTATCTACTTACATTTATAAAATGGTCACATTTTCTACCCCAACTGGAAGGTTGAAAGTTTGAATCTTGGTGCCTGCAGTCCACATGTTGAAGTGTCCTTGGGCAAGACACCGAACCCCCCAAGTTTCCCGTGATGGCGGCGTGTATGCACTCAGCAGCCCAGGGCCCTCGGCTCCAAACAAAATTTCATTGTCTGTGTCATAATGTTACCATGACAATAAAATAAAGCTTCTTCTTGTTTTGTATGTTGCAAAGTAAAGCTGCAAAATAAATATTCAGTAGTGGAGTAAAAATTTTTAACATTCCCTCTGAAAGGTAGCAGAGTACAGGTCTGAAGGTGCAGAAAATGAAAAGCAACACTGTACTAGAGTCCAGTGCTTGTAATATTTTGCACCGCTGATTGGATATGTAATGCACATATTGTCAGACAGACTGAAAAGCAGCCGTCATGCAGTCCCAGAGAAGTTTAGACATCCCATTCACAGCCTTATGAAAGCTTCATTATAATAACTTTCTTTCAAAGAACCTCAGTCTTACACTGTAATAGAAGGGAAGTGTTTACCAGCCTCACAGTTACATTTCTCTACAGTGCACACGTCATGCTAGATCACTTTCCCAGCGCACCCCATCTCAACCCTGTCGGTTTTGGCAAAGTGAATGTTGGGCCTTTTTCTTCAGGAGTGGTGAGCTCATGCTGGATTTTCTATTTTTAGTCCGACTGGCTGCTGTTGGCTTGGACTCTTCACAGTGCTGCACCATGCTTATGGTGAAACACATGGGGGCGCTGTTTCGCTCTCCACATTCCACCGCTTGTGCGCCAGAGCTGAGAGGCACTAACACTGTGCTCGCACATTCCGTGCACCTGTTTCTCTCCAGTGAATAAGATGGGAAGCGTTGGTGCAGACAAATGGTGCCCTCCATTTAATATTTATTCACATCCAGGTTTTACTTTCTAATCTTCATTTTCATTTAGACACAGATGTCACCTGCCTCAGTACTGATCCCTAAATTAAAATGTAGGAATTATTGATCAGCTCGTGTCTTTATGCAGCTCTGCTTAAAAATCACCCATTTCTTTGGATTAGAAAAATTTAAGTGTGGATATATAAGCAACTTGATTCATAAAAAAAGAAGTAATTGCTCAAACTGCCCCTAGGGCTTTATTCCCACTAAATGTTTTATTTGTTTATTAAATGTTTGACAGACAAAAAGTCAGAGAGAGAGAATTTTTTTCTTAAGACAAATGTATTTCTCCAGCCTCATCCAAATCTTAATTAATCCGTGTGAAGGCATCGGGTTGCGTACTGCACCCACCACCCCGAACCGGGACCGTGCACAAATCCCCCTCACTCACTTTTCCTCTTATTAAACCGATATATCGCTGCGGTCTGCAGTTCAGTAGTGTGCATAACGTAGCCCAGGGAGTTGGACTGACCCTGAAACCACAGCACCACTCCATTATGATTCAAGCACGGATGTATTTCTGTGTATTTCTTAGCTTCGCTACTGAATTAACCCATTATCATGTTAGTGCTGCTCTTCATTGCTCCACAGATTCCTCCCTCCCTTCCTCCCTCCTCCCCCCTTTCTGCTGCTTCCCCAGCGCTGCAGGTTGAATCTATTGCCCCTATTTCCTGTCACATGGGTTGGAAATAGGATCCGTGCTTTCTACTATCTGGTCTCGTCGTTTGCGGTGTCAGTGTAGTAGTAGCAGAAGGATCAGCCTTGAAGTTCGGGGACTTTTCACGCCGACCAGAGAGCGTCTCCTGCACAGACCCGGTCAGTCGGTCCAGCAGTCCGCCGGTGTGCGCATCCGTCAGGCTGCACTTCACCTGAGAACCAGTTCAGACGCTTTAATCCCACCATGGATTCCTGGACACTCATCTCAGCTCTTCTTCTCGCTGGGCTTATTTCTTCCATGGCTCTTAGTCATTTTGACACCGGTACGTGCAAACTTTTCTACTCTCCTTTTCCAGTCATGTAATCCGATGAATATGTGCATTTTCGTCACCAAAGTTGCACTTTTGCGCAGCGGTAAAAGATCGTAACCTAACAGAAACTATACACCAAGTATCCAAAAATAAGTGAATCCTGTTTTCTTGTTTGGTATCGAACAGATCGCATTCGCAGTATCATAGGTTGATCGCTTTGGTCCAACAACGGAATTATTTCCCAAACTGCACGCTGTCTTTAATTTGTAGGTGCTTAGAGGGCAGCCAGGGCCAAAGGGGAAATGCTTTTGTTGTTGTTTACCTTAAAGATAAAAGAGTGAAGTAATGTGAGCAGAGGAACTGGTCCGGTCAGGTAGGTCAATAGTGCCTTCACACCTACAGGGGAAACACATCTGGTCCAAATCGTATCCAGAGGTGTCCGCAGACCTGTAGAGACATCATAGTCTTCCAAATTCATGGAAGTCTGGAAAATGCGTAACAATCACCGGGCACCCCTGATATGCTGTTTTAAAATAAGTTTAGGATTTAACCAGGGAACGGATGGGATCGTATCCCAGACCAGGACTGTTACGCACCAGGCACATCGTGCGCTCATAGTGTTACCTGTTCTGCATCAGCTGCCTGTAGCAGTCTCATTGTGCCATGCTCGACAGTCCACACTTTGACCACTTATTACAGAGAATGTTGACGACGTTCTAGTTTCCATCATAATATTAATGTTGGCTGCACTGCATCAGTTCTCCCGAAACGAACTTAAAGCCCTCGGCTCGGTCATCTGATATCACCCATTTAATTTACCATCAAGTTCAGACTAATAGCCATGGATATGTTTGCATCTGTCTGCAGAACTTCAAAGTTAAAGTCGGATCCCCCTTTCAAAGCTGCCTTCCCAGATAATATTTTGCTTTAATGGGAATATCTAATAATGATGACCACACAAACCAAGCTTCTCCTTGCTGTAATTTGTGCCGCGTTTCATGTCAAAGCAGCAAATCCTCATGCTTTTCTTTTTAATTTTTTTGTCTCTTAATTATACCCTTGGATTTCAAATTAGAGGGTCCACCATCTGGGCTAGTGCGTAAGTACTCCCATGTGTACCTATGTATTAACAAAGTATTTAAAGCGATGGTATTTCCCCTCATAACATTGGGGAGAAAAGAGTGCCAAGTTTATGTTTAGTTCAAGTCAGCTGTGCCACATTTACTGTATGGTAAAACAATAATTTCTTGCATGTACAAGAAGTCAGGCTCTTGTTGTAAATACAAGTGATGACTGCTCCGCTCTCTTTGCTGTATTTTTGCCAGATGCCCTTAATATGTTTGGATGGTACGGTTAAAAAAGATCAAGCTAAATGTGAAACCTGACAGTACCTAAAAGAAAAGCCTTTCAAAGACACAGCTGTTAGTTCAGCTTCCATTCTTGTTTGTTGGTTTCTTTTGCTTAGAGATTCCAGATTATTTGCTAAAGGTTTGAAGCCATCGTGATGTTTATTAGCAGAAAAGTGGTCATGTGTTTTCAGTGTCAGTCTATCAGAGAAGATTAAACTTATGTTTGATTCAGTGAATATTCTTATGCCCATGCTGGGAATTGCCGAAACCTCAGTTGAAGACATGTTGAAGGAAAGTGGACAAACTGAGAAGAGCAGCAAGATACAAATAACATTAGTGCACTATTAAGTACGTTCCATGTTATTCTTCTAGTTTAGCATCATCCTGACAAATCTCATGAATGTGAAGATATCTGCCAGAAAAATCCAGGGTGCCTCTGTGATGTTATTAAGAAACTGAGCGTGTGCCAATAGGAATTCTTAAACAGGTGAGCTTTCCTTTAATTCCTCCAGTTAGGTCATGCAGCCACTTATTAATACTCAGCAGAAACACAGCCGCTGTTGTTTTTGTGGCAGAGCGTTAAAAACAATTACACTTGAGCGCTTTCACTGTCCCAGTAGTCTGCAGCATTGCGTCAAGCACAAGTGTATCCACGGCAAAAGTGTTTTTATCTGGCACTGTGGGATAATAATGTGCTCAGTGAAACGCACGGACACACACAAAGGCAGACGCAAATGTATGAAGAGGAAAAGAGCGAAAATGTAGCTGAGGGTTAGAGATGATGTGTCGGTTGCAGATGGAGCAGCCGAGTGCCTTTATGCAACCGATCACATGGGAATGGGCTCCTCTTTCATACAGTACAGTTCAGTATAGGGTTCATTTACCACAGACTCTTGAAGCCATAATGTACGTGATTTCTCTTCCACTTGAAATCAGAGGCTTAATAAAGAAACTCATCCAGACTCCCACATGCTGCTGTGGCTGGCTGCC